TGTCATTCTACCGTAATTGACACTCGTGAATAATACTATACGTGAGGTACAATAGAAAAATTTTAAGGTTAGGGAAGTTTGGCACTGAAACCTGTCCAAAGTGTAATAGGACATTAATGACACATATCCTCAATCATAGCGGGGTTAAAATCGAAATTCCACGACCTGGCTTGGTGGCCATGACTCAATTAAGGTGTTTCGGACAATATTACTTCGAAATAGTAATGTATTACGGGGCCTAATAGCCCATTCCAGAGATACGATTAGCCAGATTATCGAAAAGATGACAAAACGCTAAAATTCACATTTTTCCGTACCTCTAAACTTTGGGCGCGTCTCCAGCAACGAGCCGTCTTACTTAGGACACAGAAAGGCAGGTCTTGGAATTCTAGTACGGCCAATTTCATCAACAGTCCGCTATTCTCCACCTATAGGGTAACAGCCCGACAAATACAGCGAATGAGCTTCAAGTTCCAATCAACAAATTTTAGCAACCAATAGCTATGAAATGTTGAAATTGAATGGGACATGTATACACTAGTATCTTAAGACAGCCCCACAAAAAAAATTCAAACTGTTGAGGTCTGGGGATCTTGGTGGCCATTCTTGGGGCCCACCGCGGCCAATCCAACGATTTGGATAAACAGTTTGTAAATAATTACGAACCGCTACACTGAAATGCGCTGGTGCACCATTATGCAAGTAACAAATATTGTTTCTTATTACTAACGGAACATCATCAAGCAGCAAAGGCCAATGTTGTTGAAGAAAATTGAGGTAAGTCTGTCCGTCAAGTCGTCCCGGCAAAAAGAATGGGCCAATAAATAATTCCTGTCCATACGTTAACCGAAAATTGGTGTTGGAAATGGGTTTCGGTTACGGCATGGGAATTTTCTTCTGCTCACAAATGATTATTGTTGAAATTCTGAATGGCATTTCGAGAAAAATTGGCTTCGTCCGTGAACAGAATTATTCATTCCAATTGCGGATTTTGAGTAACTTTTTGAAGATACCACTGACAAAAGGTCACACGCTTTGGAAAATCAATTTGAAGTAATGTCTGTACTCTTAAATTAAGGTAAGGATATATAAAAAAATCCACTAAAATTCTCCAAATAATTTGATGGCAAATATTTAAGGGTCTAGAGGTCTTCCTCGTACTCGTTTCAGGATGTTCGTGCAGCACTACTTCCTCAATTTGAGGTGTTCTCACACTTAGATGTCTACCTTCAGATGTTCCTTTTCGGACAGTACCCGTTTCAACCAGACGACGATGAATATTAGAAAGTTTCGAACATCTGGCAAAGCACGAGCGGGATATCTCTCGTGATAAATCCGTCAGGCTTGCTCACCATTACTGTCGGCAAGGCCATATACATAATGCATTTTCGCCATTTCTGCATTTGAATAATTCACCATTATTATCAAGATTGTAAAAACTAAATAATGAAAACGATGTCACAGAGAACAGATTTGAATAACAGAGACTTATCAGATGTCAAAAGCCAGTGACATATTCCAGAGCAACTAGATATTTATTGCTAAATTGCATTATTCAATTATTACATTAATTTTCTCGGACAATAGAACGGTTTTTATTTGTTTTACTCAAAAATGGCGCATCAAAGGAAAACACTTTAAGAGAGATCATTTATTTTAAATTGAACGCTGAATTCAAAAATAATTTTTATTTGGCAAAAAAACATTGGTGTACCATTTTTTTCTTAAAAAATATCGAAGTCAATACCCGTACGCACGCCACTGTTAAAGCTAGAAATTATTTTTGCATCGAAAAATATGCAACTTTATTAACTTTCACTACGTACTAAATATCAGTGAATTATCTGAAGCGGTAAAACTTCAACACCCCGAGTTTCTGTAAGGAAACATTTTTGGACCATTGTTTATAAAGCAAACTGACATTAATTTTTCATGTAGATTCACACCCTTAAATATTCGTGTATCATTAAGAAACACCCTGTATATAGAGTAAAAAAAGAAATATTGCTAATATTTACTAATAATAATGCTTCAATTTTAGCCAATTTGTATGGAAAACGTATACTGTCCAGGTATTAACAAAAATGTTTGGTCTGCTTTAATGTATATAATTACAGTTGTATTTACCATAAACTATAGAAACTAGCTGAATGAGAAAGGAAATTATTTCCCAACCTCGAATGTTGAATTTTACTTGGGGGTCGATGTGCAAATCTGAAATTAATTTCGACATCAATATCTGATGCACAATGCACATTCACTATTTATGCTTTATATTGAAGTAGTTGCGAATTCCTACTAAATGTTACAAAGAGAAACAAACAAAGAAGGAAAAACGCGAAGCAGAGATCCGTTACACAGACCATTAGAAGACAAACGTAACCGGAAACGACGAATCCATTTAAGGATGTCATATCAATAAATTACGATTTTTACCGGTTTTATGGGTTTTCACGAAAATTTCTGCATCGATCCCCAATTCTGACAAACAAATTTAGCAGAAAAAAATACATCGGAAACATACTTTTTTATTTTGTGGACCTGTGTTTTTAATCATCAAAATACCAAAAAAATCCAAGGATTATGCAGCTTTTGAATTGCAAAACACTCACTAGTATAAGATCAACCATCTTTTTTTCAAGATACGTATATAAATCTGTTGAACCTTGGGAATCATCACAGACTGGAGATGTAACAATATGACGTCATCCATTTGGGCTCTACGTCCAGATTGATTTTCTGATCTCTTCACAATCGTAATTTCTGGACACAAATACTGGCGCAAGAAACCAAACACAGTACGCTTTGCAGCAACAAATCCAGACTATGCGTGTCCATAGAAAAAATGGACGCTTTCTTGCTAAATATTTCGAAACTAAAAAAAAGTATTACCATTCAAAGTGGCAGTAACATTTAGATAGCGCTCACGTTCCGTCTGTTGAGTTTTTTGAACATTTCTATAATTGTCTTTCTCTATCATTACAATGGATGTTTCAAATTTAGAGCCAAACATTCAAAAAACAAGATGGCGGGTTTTACTCACATTTTTTTAATTTCCATTAATGTGCTACGAATAAAAATAGTGATACGGATAAATGTAAAGTTTTTCACAAAAGTCGGTGCAAATGTCCCAATGTCATCGTTTGTCAGTTAAAAAGGAAATAGGCAGTTTAATATTAAAATTGTTCCAAACATCATGTCGACTATTTTTACATTGCACTGCCAAGCAATATTTATATTCGATACCCGGTAGGTGGCGTTGTTATCACGCACCTAACGGATAAATTGTGACTAAATCCGAGTATCACTTAAGAATAAGAATATCCAACATTTACAGAAAGATACAAGACGAACTGAAACTTGAATTGCAAAAGGACAGTGTGGGTCAGGCGCACAAAACATTTCTTAAAAACACCGAGGAAGACAAATCAGTGAAGCCGATTTTGACAAAAGTCGATCATCTAATCAGCCAGCCAAGCCAGCGATGTCAATTCCAACCTCCAAACTGATATATAACGTTTTGTAAAAAGGTTTCATCCCATGTTCCCCATCCTCCTCCTCGTATTTTACCCTTTTACTACAGGTACAGAATCAATAATATTTTGTTTTTTTTATTCTTTATATACATGGTGATTCAAAAGTGGTGACCAAAAATGAAACATACACATGACCACACTTTAAGTGAAAGTACCGGATGTTGAAGTTTAAAAATAAAAACAATTTTTTTAATATCTTCAAAATCGCCAGCTGGAATGAACTAAAATTTGGTATGTGGATTTAAATAAGTATTGTCGACATTCAAAAGTTTTTATTTAAAATTAACGTGCACCAGTGGCGGAGATACACGGGATTAGTGGCATTATTTTTCCAAATAAAAATAGTACGCCACGGATTGCAGCCCAGTCACCATCTTCCCAAAGTCTTGTGTGGAGAATTTTAAATCGGGAAGTTTTACATCCTTACCATCGGCAAAATGTGCAATGTCTGCAGCCCGGCGAACAAGTGCAACGGCGAAATTTATGTGAGTGATTACTGCAAATCCATAACCAAAATGCGGATTTTATTGATTTGGTACTGTGGTCAGATGAATCGTTTCAACACAGATTTTCTAGAAATGCCTGGTGCAGCATTTTCAATGGCCAACTATTATGCACGTATTGCCACAACGTTTAAATGCAAACTCGTACTCAGCTTTTCTAGGGAATAACATAGAAAATATGATAAATGATGTTCCATTAGCAACGAGAGTACGAATGTGGTATCGGCACGACGCTGCCCCACCGCATGTTCGTCGTGACATAACCGCATGGTTAAATAATCATTTTAGATGACGATGGATTGAAAGAAACGGACGCGTACATTGGCCTGCGAGGTCTCATGATTTGAAACCCCTGGATTTCCGTTTGTGGGACGCTTTTAAATAACTAGTGTATGCTGAATAAATTGATACTGTTGATCAGTTACAAGAAGGAATAGATAACGCGTTTCATCTAATTCAAGCCAATTCAATGGTGGTGTTCTTGAAAATTTATTGAAATAAAGCTTTGATTATCTAATTTGTTTTTTATTTTTACGAAAACAATGCACTCTAGGAAAAAACACATAAGTAATTATTTGTAGCAAAGTGAAGGTAGAATTCTAGAAATTGCGTGTTTCGAAAAAAAAAACAGTGGCGTACTATTTTTATTTAGAAAAATAATACCACTAATCCCGTGTATCTCCGCCACTGGTGCACGTTAATGTTAAGTAAATACTTTGAATGTAGACAATACTTAGGTAAATCCACATATAAAAATGTTAGTCCATTCCAGTTGACGGTTTTGAAGATATTAAAAAAAATTATATTTTATTTTTAAACTGCAACACCCCGTCCCGTATCTTTTTAATGAAGCAATCGAAGAAAAAATGTTACATAGAAGACCCTCCTTAAAATGCGGTCCTGTGTATGATGTCACGACTTGTGAATCATCGTGTATGAACCAAAGGCATTACTGTGACATCTATATAAACGTTTCAAATTGATCAAATTGAACTGATTTCTGTTTTAGAACACTTACCGCTTTTACTTTATCCGATTTCTTTAGTAACTTTCCTAGTTTTAAATCTGCTGCAACCATCATACATTCCGCTACTGTTAACATTGGTTGAATGAGGTCTTCTTGCATGATGTACCTGGACATCTTGCGAAACTGTTTCAAATTCCTAGCTTTACCGTTTATCAGTATGGATCCTGTTGCATCCCTGCATCTGTAAAAAAGATTCAGATTCAAATTATAAACAATTTCAACCAAGGCTACAAATCCATAAGTTTGTAGACATTAAAATGATGCAAATGTATACGTTTTTCTTGTATACTTAGAGGGAATTTGTCATATTGATATAATTCAACTTCGGTTAAAACCCAAGCACAAGTGTCCACTTATTTGGGTATATAGTGGAATCCACTTATAATGAACTTGCTTATAATGGAAACCCGTATATAATGGACAAAGTTTAAGGTCCTATAAAAAATTTCATGTAAGATCCTCGGATATTATATGTTAGACTCGCTTAAAATAGACCCTCGCTTATTATAGCGGACTATTTCAATCCATTAATTCCCCGAAGCAGATTTAGCTGATGCAATCTTTTACGGTGGTTTGGCTCCACATGTCGAAAAGTGCGAAACGCGAGTTAGGACGGGAGGTTGCGTCGATGAGTTTTAAAAAAAACTCAAAATACTTGTTTTCAAACCGAACTAACAAAATTTTTATGAAGAAGAATTACAGAGTTGATTGTAGCAAAAGCAAAGTGAATCTGAATAACAATGCAAGTGTGTGTGTAAGATAAGAATGGAAAAAGCTGATGCAGCGTCTTCTTTCTTCGAACCTATGCATTTCCAGTGGCGTAACTCGCGCATTCACTTTACACGAAAAGTTCACAATAATTAATGAGCTTGAGCAGGGTTCATCTCAATCAAATGTATGTGCTCGTATGGCAATAAAAAAATTCAGTGTGTCAAATATTTGAAAAAAATCGTGACAAAATTAAAAATGACTGGAAATCAAATAGTCAAAAGAAAAAAAAAATGCTGCTATCATTGCATCCCCAAATCGACGATATGTTGTTTAAATGGTTTCAACAAAAGCGTGCTAATCATTTTCCAATAAGTGGACCTATGCTACAAGCAAAGTGAAATAGATTGGAGATTACTTCAAATGTAGTTCCAGTTGGCTAGACAGGTTTAAGAAAAGACATAACATTGTTTTTGGGAAAATGTGTGGTGAGTCAGCTTCAGCTGACAAGAACGTTACCAATGACTCGATTTCTCGTTTGGCCCGTAATATCCACTGATTATCCAGATGATACATATTCAATGCAGATGAAACCGGAATATTTTATAGAATCCTACCAGATAAATTAAAAGGTGAAACTTGCAATGGAGAGAAACTATCAAAAGAGCGAATAACTGTTATGATTTGTGCTAATGCTTCTGGTACTGAAAAACGGAAACTATTGATAACAGGTAAGTGAATGAATAGAAATTCATGTTCTAATTTTTTGATATTCAATGGCTGTGCTGCAAAGAAATTATGACCTCTTTTTTATTTCAGGGAAATTTAAGAGTCCCAGGTGTTTCAAAAATGTTAAACAATTCCCGTCGATTATGTTGGAAATAATAAAGCTTGGATGACTTCATCAATTTTTGATGAATATTTAAAAAAGTGCGATGTTGAACTTGTTAAGAAAAATCGTAATGATAACTGTCCCGCTCATCCAAATATTTCACCTAATAACATCAAACTTCAATTTTCTCCACCCAATGTGACATCAGTTCTGCAACCAATGGACCAGGGTGTCATTAGGAGTCTCAAACAAATGCATCGGAAACATATGTTGATGAAAATTATGGAGCTTCAAGAAGATGTCAACATTACCAAAGCTGTCACCATTTTAGATGCAAAGAAATGTTTGCAGTTTAACATATTACCTGTTGGGTTTAGTTTTTGTATTCTTCTAATTTAAAATTATAATTATAAGAGACATTTGTTTTCATTTTTAATAAAATCTACAAATTTGGAATTGTAAGATTTAAAAAAAAGGTATTATCATTTCTCCTAACCTTTATAACACAGATACAATGTTATTTCATTTTTTGTGATAACAGTTGTTAACACATAACAGTTAAATATGACCAATTTAATGTGATTAACCTTTTATAGAAGGGAAATAATGAAATAACACAGTCCCACAATTTCAAATCGCAATCTCAGGTTGCACTCGCAGTGAGTGGTAAATCGCAATCGCAGTTTCAACTGCGATCACAAAATCGCAACTTTGATCATCTCTAGTGCTTACTATTGGATGGAAATTGGTTACTCCAAAAACGATCCGTAATTGTTTTCGCCATGCTGGCTTAGTGAAAAACATAACTGAAATAGTCAACCATTTCAATCCAGAACATGAAATTCCATTAAGCGATTTACTGAAAATTAATAGTTTACTGAATAAAGACAAATTTAATGAGATAATGTTGACAATAATTTAATAGCGATACAGGAATTGTCAGACTCTAATCTGGTTAATGACGGATCCGTTGATAACGACGAGGAAGACGAACTAGAAAACAACGATGAGGAAGAGCTTCCAGTGACAACTAAGGAGGCATTAGACTGCGTGAAAAAGTTGCAATGTTATTTTCAGCAAGACGAAGACAGTACAGTCAAACTTACCAAATTAAATAAAATTCAACTTGCTGTTCTAAATAATTATACAAAAAACAATCTGTTCAAATGAAAATTAATAGCTTTTTTACCAAATAATTTACGGTTTTTACACATACCAACACAGTACGTATGCCTGTATTATGTGTATCAGATTCTGAAAAATGCAAATTTCAAAATTGGCAGAACTTTTATGTATGTATCCTTATTTATGTAATACATGTTAAACAAACACCTTTTAAGCTTTTAGTATGTTATTTATGCTACTTTTTTCATTAAAAAAGTGTTTCTTTTAAGATGTCATCCGCCTATAATAGACTATTTGTCACATGTTTATTTGACACGACCGTTATTATTTATACGAAAACTTTGTAATTGGACCAATAAACATTATTATCAATATTATTATTATATCATATGTTAGAATTCTCTTTGAAACGGATTTCCAGTTGGTAATTTCCGCATGGTTGAAAAGCCGTAATGTATTTTATAAAAAAGACATTGCTTATCTTTGAATAACAAAATGATCCTTAAACCACAGGGCGCAAAAGAGAGTCATATCATCAGTAGGGCTTCATGTGTTGTACTATGATGGGACCTCTCTTTCATTTCCATCTGTGGTTGTTTATCTCGGAAACTGTGCTAAAACAACACCGGAAAATAAGGACACTTTATCACCCATTGTAATTAGAATTCAAATTATTTCGAAACCGTGGTAATCAAATATGTATAGGCATCTAATACAAATTATTTGGTTAATTGAAAAAACAGAATGACGCGTGTGACGACATATTAAGCAGAATATCTGTAAAAAATCAACATAAGTATTTAAAATGTATAAATCATGTTAATGTAATAGATATCTATAAAAATATATAAATATATGAACAGTAGTGACGTTAATAATAAACGTAAATGAAATTCTTTCGCGACAAACATAAACAGTATAATAATATCTGCTGAATTAGTAATAGTAATAATATTGATACGATCCTGACAATAACCAAGAACAATGCAATTATATTGAACCAGTGCTTCCCATGCATTCAATTCTCTTATACAGGAAGGATAATTAGATTGAAGTTGATAATGATTGATGCAAAGAGGACTTTTGTAACATCACTTGTCCTATGGTATTCATGCTGATAATCTTCCATGTTTGTCAGGTCGCTAAATGAAACCACACATACTTGAAATACTGTAAGCTGACGACGTCGTTTTAGCCATAACGGTGGCCTTTTTCAAGTACAATTAACAATTCTGACAGTATATTTTGTTTATCTGATAAGACAAAACCTCCAGAGCCCCCTACAATTTTTTCTCAAAATGATAAGGAGCCTCTGAAAAGTCAAAAAACCAGGGTTGAAAAAGAAACATGATTAAAAAAAAAAACAAAAATTGTCTAAAACATTCAAATTTAGCTGAAAAAAAAACATGATTAAAACAGTGAAAAAAATTCAAAACCTATTGTCTATATAATCTAGCAGCGTTAATAAAGTTCCTTGAAAGTGTTATTACTATTTTTCATCCAGCTCTATCAGAGCACATCTCTAATTTAAAAGCGGATGTCGAGGAAGTACCGTTTGCCTTTGGGTAATTTTTCGCGTTGTGATGTGTTTTGTTTTTTGAAAAACCAAGTTTGAGCGATTTTTAATTTTATCATTTTTGCCGTTAACTGCCGCTAGTGCGCCTATTTTCAAAACCTACAAAGCTTTCATGTCCTCGGAATAGTTGAGTGAAAATTTCAATAAAATTCGACCGGCACGAGTATTATGTAAAAACCTATAAAACGTAAAAAAACCTGTAAAATGTCATCTTGCAGACTAGGTAGTTTTTCGGGTGCAAACAGTCATTCCAGATTTGCTCACTATTATCGTTGTAAGCATACATCTATGGAGGAATAGCTATGGAGGAATAGCTCAACTACACGCATTGTTGGTTGCATATGTTTCGTGAAGCCGAGTAGTCTACAGTTTTCATCTCTGAGAAGAAAGTTGATTGAATAGCAAGATCGCATCTGGATGATTGTGCGTATTGTTCTGCACGAGTATAAAATCAGTGATATTTGCTGAGTGAGAAAAGCATTACTGAATACGCTGCCAATGAAGTATATCTATTAGCTGTGCCCGACGGGTCATTTTATATGTTGTCCTTTCTGAAGACAGGTTATGTTCAAAGTTATAAATTACCATGTTTCACGTTTGTTCGTGTTTTGTATAATTACTGTTAGCATGTGTATGACTTGTAATTCGACAGTGTACAGTGAATATAATTATTTCTTATCTCTCTCATTTTTGAAATTCAGCAAGTTTGCATATGTAATTTCCAGAATGGATAAGAAAAAGTGGATGTGCAACTAATTTCTAGCTTTGAATCTCAAGTAAGTATATATATGAGACAAGACTCCAATGGAATTATCATCAACACATATTATTAGCACACAAATCCTCACTCTGCATCTATCCATTGCCATTTCCTGCTTGCTATAGTACACAACTTACAGCATAGACCTCCAGTAATGCCATCTCTGAAGCAGATTTCACAACACATCAAAGCCAAACATTGACAAGTGAAGCCTCATGACGTTTAGACAACACGTACAATTATAAAACGAGTTCACAACAAGTGTTCATCAGCTAGTGCTAAGTTAACATCTTGTAGAAAACCTACATAATCTCACAAAAAAAGAACAATATAATGTCAAAAAAAATCGACATAATGTCACTTTTCAAGATACGTAATACCCGTGCGGTACTTCCAAGGTTTTAGCGGACAGACATACCGATGGAAATCTAACATCCAAAAAATACAATTATTAATGGCAAGCAAGCTCTGCAATACTGAACTTACTAAATCCTTGACTGTATCAGGGAATTCGCCCTACTTATCAAGACATTTTCTAGCTTGTATTGTGAACGATGTCGCTGAACCATGTCTAACCGTTCATGTGTATACGTATGTATTATGCCCCTCTTTTACGATACAAAGTTGGTAAAATATATGCAATCACTACCAAAGGAGGTTAGTATTATGATCGATTGTGAAGAGCTATAAAATGCGATACGATGGTTGCAGCGTTATATAAAGCTGACGAAACACCAACAAATGCCTAACAATTTTCGAAGATTCTTGGGAAAATATGTTGAGCTTTCCCGCAAACTCTGAAAAATGGTATGAAGCAGAGTGATGTCGATATTTTCATGCATCGTGAACTAGTTTTAGAATAGTGCTCTAGAAAGACCAAGGCTGGAGTACTATTCATGTTGTTTAGATTGGGGGACCAGACGATTGATCGGTAAAATTTCCCCCGGTATAAAAGAATGTTTATACAACAGACATTTCTCTCTCGGATAAACCACAGAGGTTGAAAGAAAGTAAAGAAATGCATATGTTATAGAAAAAATTCACAACCGGTAGAAGTCACTTTCGACTGCAGAAATCAATCAAAAATGGTTTTGACCGATTTGCTTACTCAAAAACAGGTTTGGCTGATTTTTACAGTCAAAAGCGCTTTGACCTTTTTCTTGCACAGATGTCTGTGATAAATACATATAATGTTATCTAATTGGTTTTCTTCTATTTCAACAATCTAAATAAATGTTAATTTTCTCTCTCTACATGTTATAATGACAAGTAAAACATTGTGTAAAATTTTAATAACAAAACGGTTTCGGAAGCGCCATATTTTTTATTCAATATTCCCAGTCAAAATTAGTTTTGACTTATACTCTTGGTTAAATCATTTTTGTCCAATAAAATTTAGCCAAAATCACGATTTTTCAATAAAGATAAAAGTGGTTTTGACCACCGTTCTTAGTCAAAACTACATTTGAATGATTTTTCAATCAAACGTGATTTTGACCGGTTATGAATTTTGACTGTAACATATACAAAGTCTCCTCTTCATCCCACAACGTCAACGCGGGTGTTCCCCAGGGATCGGTCTTGGCTCCAACACTGTTTCTCTTACATATCAACGACCTTTCCTGCACGATCAACCCAATCCACAGCTTCGCTGATGACAGCACTCTACATGCAGGAATTCAGAGTGACAAGCCGATCTCTGCCGCTGATCTGGAAAAAAGAAGACTAGCGACGACTTCTTCTCTAACAAGAGACCTGGAGGCTATCACTGCTTGGGGACGCAACAATCTTGTACAGTTCAATGTTTCCAAAACACAGTACTGTACTTTGACGAACAAAAAGCGTCCTAGCGCTTATACAGTTTCGATGGACGGTCGAGTTCTACCAAAGAGCCATTCATTTCGGCTGGTCGGAGTCCAGATCACCGAGGACCTGATCTGGCACGAACACATCTCTTCAATAGCTGCAGCTGCTGGGAAAAAGCTAGGCTATTTGTTTAGGGCTAAGAGGTACTTTTCTCCGCATGACCTTCTCACTCTATACAAGGCCCAGATAAGGCCTAGCCTCGAGTATTGCTCACACATTTGGGGTGCTGCCGCCCCGACTACATTGTCCATGCTCGATGCTGTCCAGAGGAGGGCGGTCCGACTGATCGATGACTCTTCTCTAACACACAGTCTCGGGACTCTTTCGCAGCGGCGGGCCGTCGGCGATCTAGCTCTTTTCTATCGCTACACCAACGGGCTTTGCTCCTCAGAGCTCTCTTCCATGATGCCGCCGCGCGATGTGCCTGCCAGACAGACCCGCCTGACTTCGGCGTCCCATCCTAACCGTGTCAAACTTCGTACATCCAGAACTGGCCGATACGACCGCTCCTTTGTCCCGAGGGTGTCTAGATTGTGGAACAAACTACGGGAGGAAGTTTTTCCCAGTTCTACTAACCTTAGGCAGTTCAAAAATCGTATTAACAAAATTTCTTTGGGATCATCATAGCAGCCGCGGTGTTCCGGCATTTAGGCTTCTGCCTGCGCGGCTGTTTCGATATAAAAAAAAAAATTGATCTAGTCCCACACTGCTGTCAGTGAATGAATTCACTGATAGACATCATTTTATTAGGGCTGAATATCCTACTTTGACATAAATTTATCCACAAGGTCAACATTGCAGAATATCTCGAAGATGAAGATAACATTATCAAACATAATGTTTATCATTTCGCTTGATAAATGGTTACACAGTTTGTATTGTTGACTGATACTCATGTTATCTTGCAGATAATTTTCTGCTGTAGTAGACTGGCAGACTCCTAAACAGCAGTCAATAGAGTTAATAATAGAATAATAAGGCACACTGTTTCCATCAATTTATTACCAGACACGTAAGATGTAATTTGTTACAAATAGTACAATATGTTGTCAAATATGCTTATGAGCAGTCAAATAAATAACGTAGTTGTAGCTATCAATAAAATTCATACTTAAAATGTTTGCAACGTTGTAAGTAATCTTGATGAATGATTGTAAAGTTACTCACTTTTACGCATACTTGTGAAAAACAACATACATGAGAATACTGCTATTTCCCGGCTGTATAAGTAAGGTTTGCAATTGTATGCAATTAACTGAATAGATGGAAGAAAACTCCAAAATAACTGACTGTGCAAATCGAGTAGGGCAAGGTGGAGACAGTATTTGCCCGTAATCTTATTATTTTTAACAAACCCGAACTTTTTTGGGTGATTTATGTTTATTGTGCACAATATTTAATATCTACCTGTAATTTGTGACAATAAACGTTAATATTGTTATTTTTTAATTTGACCCTTGGTCCGTCTATAACTGAGAAAATACCGCTCTCGTTTTTATGAAATTTTCTAACAAGGTTACCACTATACCAAACGCGAAAACGGTGCATATCTTAATATCTTTTGAACATCGGTGTAGTGGCGAAGGGAAAAAATAGAAATCGTTCAAACTTCATTTGTTTAAATTCCAGAGGCTCCCCATCATTTTCAGAAAAAAAACCTTTGTAGCAGTAAAAAATTCAGGGTTGGGGAAGGTATATCTCAATTCTTTGATGTTAGGCATTTTTTTGATATGCGTCTGGACTTCTGTTCTCTGGGTTCACCGGCGGTCGTGTCGGTCTCGATGAGTGTTCTGCCATTACTGCCACTGTGTTTCTGCTGTGTCGTGTGGTCAGCTATGGGGACAGGCGACGTTGTCAGATCAACTGTACTATCGGTAAGGCAGGGAAAGAATATCTATGGAATTGCATCGACCCGTTTGACTGACTTGATTCGTTTACTTTTTTTGTTATGTACTCACGACGGCGTTGCGTGGGAAATGCTCCTTGACGTCATTTTTGCCTTTTTTCATATATCTACTTGATAGCTGATAGCTAAACCCAACTAAAAATTATTTGTTTTTTGAAGACGGATAAATAAAGAATAAGGAAAATATTCTTCCCTGCTTCCATTATCGTAAATTGCCGAAAATGTTCGAAGGGCGTATTCATTTTAGAATAGAAGGCAAAATAAAACAATCTACTTTCAGAAACATGTTCAAAGGTGCACTGGCGTATCCAGAAAAATGTTCTGCGGGCGGGAGGGCGACGCGTCTGCCGCACCAGTGCTTCTAAATGCAAATGCCCTTATGATAATAATTAAAGAGCAGGAGAGCTTACATTTCACAAAAGGTATCTCCTGCTGTAGTATACAAGAAAACACCCCTAAATTCGACAGTTCAGAGGTATTCAAAGCATGTACTTACTTGTAACCGGCAAGAATATTGAGTAACGTGCTCTTCCCAGCCCCTGATGGACCCAGGATGGCATTCAACTGGCCTGATTTGAACTCACCGCTAATGCTTCTTAGGATGAGCTTGGAACCTGAAACAAGCAAAATCGAAATAAAAATATTTTTATTCATTAACATTGCAGAAATAATGACGTCACACCCTCTTTATATTTTTACTTTCAACGTCACTGGCGAGGAGGTATTGTAATCACGAAGAATTTCAAATATATGTAACTTGGAGACGACCGCTCGAATTTGGATGAAATTTTCACACAAGAGGTTACTACTATACCAAGGACGAAAGACCTTTGTAGATTTTAAAAATAGGTTCAATGGCGGCGGACCAAAAACAAGAAAATAGAAATCGCTCAAACTTCGTTTTTTGACATTTCAGAGGCTCCTGATCATCCTCAGAAAAAAATGTCGGCCTGTCTGTATGTCGGACTGTCCGCTAATCCCGTTTGGATTTAGATAAAATTCTCAAACAAGTTTTCTACTATGTAGTTTTTGAAAATCGGTGGTGGAGAAAAAGTTCAAAAATTAGAATCGCTCAAACTTCGTTTTTAGACATTCTAGAGGCTCTTGATCATTTTCGAGAAACATTTTTGCAGGGTTTAAAAATTGAGGGTTAGTGGTTGCAGGGGGTGGATGAGGCTATATCTCATTTTTTATGTTGGTATATTTATAAGAGTCCAATCTCAGAAACTCTACGCACCCATATTTCACTCATCATATATGTGTGCCCTCATACATCTACCCTTAAAACTTTGAAATACCACCTTCAGTCGCGTGTAGATACGTGTGTCGTGGTCCAACGTGGGAACTACAGGGTCAATTTACCTGACGCATTTTTTTAATTAAAAATTCAATTGTATTCATTCTATAACATCACCAGTTTCCATGGCCGGTGAATAGTAAAGATACCATAACTTGCGAAGGTTGACTCAGTGCAAGTGCAAGTCCATAATTTCAATTTTTTTAACTCAACAATATCGTTTTTCATTGATAGTCATTCTACTCTACGGTCTAATGTACAGGCATTTTCGTAGAAGGTTGAATAATAAAGATACCAGAGTGTGCAAGTTGATTTAGATTGACGCCATTTTATAATCTTATTTAAATATAACACACTTCATTTATTTCCTATTTCTGTATGTATAATAAATACAATGATGAATACAGGCACATCTTTGTCCAGCGTCGCCAGTGCTACAAAATGGTAAATGCCATCATTCCAAGAAAATGTTAATAAGTTGCTTCTAAAAAGCATGACATCACCTTTATACAGTTTTTACTCCATCATACACATTGTATGTATATTCATATAAAGCATTTACGTAGGTACTTGAAATGGGCTACCTAGGTTGATAATTCAATTAAAAGTACGTTGACTTTGACACGGCACATTCAGAGGTCACCCGCATAAATAAAGCATTCAAATAGACCATGAACATAACAAGCTGAGTATCTAAATGGAATAAAAATAAGAAACTATCGAGCAAAGGGGTGTGCAAAATAAAAAGAAAAGTTGCCAGGTAGATTTCGACGGTTGGTCCATTCCAGATATTTCGAGAATATTAATATGCAGATTGAATTATTTGTCCTTGAACCCAAGAGATTTACGAAATGAGGAATGTTCTTCAATAAAATTCAATAACTGGATTATTATATGAATACGATCAAAATATTTATTAGAGGTGATAATTTGCATAACTACTTACAATTTTAAAAGATTTGATTTTCAAATTAAAATGTATCTATCAAGGCCATCACTATTCCATATTTTTACTTAGATGATTAAATTTTCCAATTGCAAAAAAAGGTGTAGGTAAACGCGAGGATTAACTTTTTATTCCCCTCACATGGTAACTGAAAAAAAATCGAAAATGAGATACGTTTTTTGGATGTTATATGACATGTACATCACGAAAAACCATGTCACACATTTCCGTCGGTCTACCTGTCTGTCCGCTAATCCTTGTTCCGCCTATGGAAAGAACTGCTCGGATTTGGACGAAATTTTTTTGTCGTTTCAGACGATCCTGATTATTTTTGAAAACATTTTAAGGAGTGACGAACTGGGGGTGGTGATGATAGAGGGGGGTATATCTCAAAATTTTATATTAGTATATTTATACGCTCCCAGCCAAGGTAATTCTTCTTCCAATTTCTTCCAATTACCGATATTTCACACATCGTAGGTTTTCCCATACATTTGTCGTTAAAAATGATAATAGAGAAATGTTTGGTTGTACTGCTCGTACTACCGTGGTGCTTCGTTGGGTGCTGACGCGTCTGACAATATTGCAAGGGGCAACGATGCCAGATGGACGGTAACTACCGGCAAGGCAGGGAAAGAATGTCTATGAACTAATTGAATGGGCCTATTTGATTGACTTGAACAGATTAATGGTCCTATTGTACATGTTCGTAACTAATTTTATTCTCAGAGGGTTTACTCGTGCTAAACTGAATCCTTTATAGACTCATCAGCTCATAATATGACAGCGTGGCGTATAAAGTGCAGAGTAACCTACTTGACTCCATTTTTTAATTACAGGAGATTTCAAAGTTCAAAGGCATTCTATTCGGAGCATTTGAAAATGTGGTTTTTGTTTGTTTAGATTTTTCATAATTTCTCCAAAATATCATAAAATCCGCATGTCACTTTTACGTTTATGGAGCGGGTGAATATTAGTTTTATGACAATTTCATCTAAACTGATTCTGAAAAATATACTGCTTTCTTTCTATGTCAAAGCAATAACTTGCCCTGAAAATTCCATTAAAATTCTTGTGGTACGCAATTTCATGAAATGTATTATTATCCATTGGTCAAATCATGATGAGCGTTGACCAGATCAATGATAAGAAATCGTTAAATGTCAACTACACGCGTGGCTATATAAAGCTGAACAAAACTAATGTAGATAAATCTTTACCTATGCAGTTGAAAAATGCCGATGAAGTAAACAATTATTTTTCTTCCGTTTTCACGCCTTCGGGCAATTGCAAGGATCCAGTTGATAAATTTAATAATACCAAAATTAATGAAAGTGCTAGATTTGAATTTAGTTTTGCTACCCCACAAAATGTTCTAGACATTATTTTGTACCTAAAATCTAATGCAGCAGGTTCGGATGGTATAAAAAATAAAATAGTCTCCATGCTGAAGCATTGCTTGCCTCGAGTACTACTACCCCTGACGCATTTATTGAACTGTTGCCTGGAGGCTGGGTATTTCCCTGATGCTTGGAAACTATCTCTTGTCAAGCCCTTGCCTAAATGTAAAAATCCAAAATGTCTCTCAGACTTAAGACCTATAACTTTGATTCCTGTTATATCGAAGATATTGGAGAAATTGATTAAACATCAGGTTTATCATTATTTCTCTAATAATGATTTCTTTCCCAAGTGTCAATCTGGTTTCCGCAGTGGTTTTAGTACAACTACAGCTTTAGCAAGGGTTTTAGATGACATCACTGCTTCGCTTGATAAGGGATATGCTTCAGCACTTGTATCATTAGATTATTCTACGGCGTTCGATAAAATAGATCATGAGCTTTTATGTGCTAAATTGAAGCTTTTTGGTTTTTCAGACATACCTCTAATGTTTTTTATAACATATCTTTCAAATCGTAAACAAGTAGTAGAGATACTATATCTAGTCCGATTGATATAACATCAGGTGTCCCTCAGGGTTCAGTTTTAGGGCCTTTGTTGTACTTAATTTATACTATAGACTTGAGTAGCTCTGTGAAAAACTCTTATATGATGTGCTATGCCAATGATACACAGATATATAAGAGCTTTAATAGTAACACTTCATACTTCAATCAATGAGCTTAATGATGATTTGGAGGCAATAGTAGGATACTCAAATGGTAACAATCTTAAGCTCAATAAGGATAAGTGCTCAGTGATGCTTTTTTGTCCTGCTGTTAAACGTAACACTATATTGAATTCTCTTGGTGTAAAAATCGATAAGGAGCGTCTAGCTGTCATAAATACTACAAAAAATTTAGGGTTGATTATTGATGCGGCAGAGAGGATGGACGGTTTTAAAAAAATCATAAAATAGTTAATTTTTACTCGAAAACAAATTTATTGATGGAATCAGGTTCACAAGGAAATAGCATTTGAGACAGTCAAGTGTGGAAAAACACATCGGGCATGTGGTGGCCGAAATCGTTGATGCAGTGCTGGAGACGTTCTCAACGAAGGATGGTGTTTCGAGAGGGAACAGCTCTATTCCGATGAATGTTGAAGTGGCGACAAAACTCACGCTGTACGACGATGACTGACTCATTATTTCGGACGAAACAATCATAGGCGAAAACGCGGTGCTCCACCGTCCAAAGCTCCATAACGACAACTGGTAAAATAATGCTAGGATGTAGGATCTCACGAGTCGAACGGCACCCTCCCCACCTCTCTGCCTCTACCTCTCTGCCGCACCCTGTACTTTACGGTTTAAGGAGCCTGTTTCGTCTATTTAAAAAAAATGTTATGCAACTTTGAAGTGTTTTTATGTCAATCGCTCTATTTTGAATTTTAAAGTTAGAAAAAAGTTATGTGAGGCTATTATATTTCCTAGCTTATTTTACTGTAGCACTGTGTTCTATCATTGTCTTGATTCTATCACAAAAGCAAGACTCCAAAAACTCCAAAATACTTGTTGTCGATTTGTATTTAATCTCAAGAAGTGTGATCATGTTTCCTTAAAGAGATTTCAGCTTGGTTGGATGTGTATAGAAAATGCATGCAAGTACCATATAGCAGTGTTTACACATAAGATCATATGTTCTCGCTCCCCCTTGTATCTTTATGAGAAATTTGTTTTCAGACGAAGTAATTCAGACATTGATTTCAGACACAAAAAAAGACTAGAGATCCCTATGTATAAAACAACTTTATTTCGTAGTTCATACACTTACAATGCTATCCTGATTTATAACGAATTAGATAACAATATAAAGGATTGGCCAGTAAACAGATTTCGTAAGCATGTGAAACAGATTAATTTGTCATTGTAGTAATTTTGGAAAAGTTAGTTTTTAATTCTTATATTTTATTTCATTTTTACGTAATATGTGTGTATATATGTATAGGTGTATGTATGTCATCCAGCTATCAAGTTCGTTTGTTTTGAAGCGTCTTTAGCTGCTTGTCAAAGTTTACTTTGATTAAGTATTTCAA